AATGGGTCCTTTCCCTTTGGGGAAAAAAACGAACCTTGATCGAAACTTCAGTTCTTCTACAAAGATGAACATGAAGTAGGTTATGGATGGAAACATAAAACATAAAGACATAAAATTTTTTGGAAGAAAACATAGGGAAAAATCTTCATGACCTGGTATTAGAAATGATGCCAAAAACATAATCTAGAACAGAAAAATATTAATAAATTGTACTTCATCAAAATTAAAAACTTGTGCTCTGCCTTAAAGACTGTCAGGAGAGTTAAGAGACAAGCTACAGACTGGGATAAAATATTTGCAACCCACATGCTTGACAAAGGAGTTGTATCCAGATTATCTAAAGAACTCCAAACTCAATAACAGCTCTCAAAACTACAAAAACTCAACTTAAAAATGGGCAAAGGACTTGAACAGACACTTCACCAAAGAGGATATAAGGATAGCAGATAAACGTATGAGAAGATACTCAGTGTCATTAGCTGTAGGGAAACGCTAATTGTAACCATGATCACATACCACTACACACATATTAGAATCGCTAAAACAGAAAATCATGACAATACCAAGTGCTGGCAACTGGGACTCTCATGCACTGGTGGGAATGCAAAATGGTACCCTACTCTGAAAAATCATTTGGAAGTTTCTTTTTCTTTTTTTTTTATTTTTTATTTTTTTTTTATTTTTGAGAGAGAGTGAGTGAACAAGTGGGGGAGGGGCAGAGAGAGAGGGAGACACAGAATTCAAAGCAAGCTCCAGACTCTGAGCTGTCAGTGCAGAGCCTGATATAGGGCTCGAGCTCACGAACCATGAACCGCGAGATCATGACCCAAGCCAAGTTAGATGCTTAACCGACTGAGCCACCCAGGCACCCTTGGAGGTTTCTTATGAAGTTATATATACACCGACCATGTGACCCAACAGTTCTACTCTTGGGTATCCACCTTAATGAACTGAAAACTTGTGTTCACTCAAAAATCTGTACACGAATGTTCGTAACAGTTTTATGTGATGGCCCAAACCTGGAAACAGCCCATATGTACTTCAAAGGATGAATGCATCAAGTGTGGTACATTCATACAACGAAGTAGTACTCAGCATTAAAAAGTAGTGACACACACCACAAGTTGGGTGAAGCTCAGACATTATGCTGAGTGAGACAAGCCAGTGTCAAGGTTATACACTGCTTGTTCCCTTGTATTTGACATTCTTGAAAAGACAAAACCATAGGTGCTGGGAAACAGACTGGTAGTTGCCAGGGGTTGTGCATGAAGGTGAGGGTTTATAGATAAGGGAGTAGTACCAGGGAGCTTTCTGGTTGGAACTGTAACGTACCCTGTTTGTGGTGGTAGTTACACCAATACATACATGTGTTGAAATTTATAGAACTGTACACTAAAAAAGTCACTTTTACCATGTAATAAAAAATAATTTTTTAAAATGTCAGACTTCACTCTGTTTTATGAATCTTTGTATGTGACCTTGTTTTTGTTTTGTGTTTTATTTGCTGTTTTTCTCTCCTCTTACTTTGCTTTGAAAGTGTAGATGATTTTTGTCTACTTGTTCTCTGTACTCGGTAAGCCCTTTTGATTTGGAAACCCATATTCTTCAGTTCTGGGAGTTTTCTTGGTTTTTGTTATTGTTGCACATTTCCTCCACATGTTTTCACCCTACTCCCCTGTCCGTTTTCTCTCTTCTCGCTTGCTGGTATTTTTCAGACATTGGAACTCTTAGCTTGGTCCTCTAATTTTCTCATATTTTCTCATCTGTTTTCTTTATTTTTGTCTCTTTGTCCATTTCTGGAAACTTACTTAATTTTAAATATTCAGTCTGTTGTTTAATAACAAGAGTTCAGTTTTTGTACTCTGATTGTCTCTTTAAAGGTAGCCTATTCTTGGGGCACCTGGGTGGCTCACTTGGTTAAGCGTCCGACTTTACTCTGGTTATGATCTCACAGGTCGTGGGGTTCGTGGGTTCAAGCCCTGCACCGGGCTCTGTGCCAACAGCTCAGAGCCTGGAGCCTGCTTTGGGTTCTGTGTCTCCCTCTCTCTCTGCCCCTCCTCTGCTTTCACTCTGTCTCTCAAAAATAAATGTAAAAAAAAAAAATAAAGGTATCCTATTTTCATTTCATTATTGTAATATCTTCTATTAATGGTAGTAGTTTTCTTCTTCCTGAATACTTGCTTTTCTGTTTTATTAGCTATTTCTCATTAGATGCTTTCCTTCAGTATCTGATGGTCCTTTGCTTATATTTAGGAGGAGGATGAAAATGCTCACTGGAAACACATAGCATGTTGTGAGGCTTGTCAACTTTGAGCTTCAGTCTTCAGTCTGGTTGGGCTGCATAGTTGGGGAGCCTCCTAAGGCAGTATCATTGGCTCTTTCTGTTTAATCTGATTGGAGTTTCCAGAGAAGAGACTTTTTTTGGTCTCCTACATGGAGGGAAAGGCTTGGTTCATTGGAGAGAGAGGGCTCTGGGTCTCTGTATCCTGGATATTCATTCATTTATTCTCCCTAGTTCCAGTCCAGTATCTTGTCCTCAACTGGGTCTTTATACTGCTAGTCAAGAGGCCTTATGTTGTCCCTTTGCAAGAAATAAATCTTAAGGTTGTGGCCTGGTAGCTGGAATGCTGTAGGGAGCTAACTGTTTGCGAAGCAGACTTGGAACCAGCACTTACATAGGCGGTCCTCCTCCTCCCTTCACTTGCACCTACGCAGGAATCTGGTGCTGCCAGTTTGAGTCTTTCAGGGATTCTTCTTTGTAAAATCAGGTTGCTTCTTGTTTTGTGCCTATGCTTAGCTTGCATTTCAGTTTTCTGTACTTGATTTGTAGGAGTAGAAACGTACCAGTCCTAGTGAACAGAAATCTGAAGAACCATCAAAATGGAGCTTTAGTCCCAGCCTCTCAGTCCATTCTGGACTGACTCAGTTTACAGATGCAGAATCCCTTGAACAGAGGGGTGTTTGGATCACCTTATGGAAGGACCCCACCATGCAGCCGTGGAATGCCCACATTTATTTTTCTTGGAATTGCTAAGTCATCTGTTGGCCTTCCAGCTTACAAATTTTATTTGTATCACTTGTTCTTGTGCGTCTGTGACTTCAAAAACTTCTTTTTATTGTCTTGGTGGGGTTCCAGTAGGGAATGAGTGTGGTATGTGTGTTCAGTTGCATCTTTACCTTCAACCTGTCTGTATTCTTTTGCTAGATGGTATTATACAGTCTCAAGGCTTTGAAGATCATCCATAGGCTGGTGATCCTAAATTTATGTCTCCAGCTCTCCTTCTCTTACCTCTGGTCCCTGGACGTACTATCACAACTGCTTACTCACCATTCTCTCTTAATACATCCAGTACACATGTCAGACGCTTCCTTCCCAACCTTCCCTTTGAAATGCTGATTTCTCATCTAATCTTGTTCTCAATTAATACTACTACTAGCTACCCACTTGCTCAATCCCAAATCCCCTTCCTTCTTTCCTACATTATCAGCAAGTCCTATCAGTTCTAAATTCAAAATGTATCCAGAATTCATCCAGTTTTCCCCATCTTTATGGCTGCTACCCTGATCAAAGCCATTTCATTTCTCACCTTGGTCCATGCAGTAACCTTGCAACTACTCCCTGCCTGTGCTTTTGCCCTGCTGTCCAATCCACTATCTACACAGTAGCTGGAGTGAATATTTTGAATTCTAAGTTAAGCCACATGCATTCCCTGGTTCAAAACCCACAGTGCTATCCCCCTGTACTGTGAATGATGTCCACGCTCTTTACTCTGTCCACAAGGTCTCTGCCTAACTCTCAGACTACAGCTCCTACCAGTGCCTTCCTTGCTCCCTCTCCTCTGGTCACACAGGCCCTTCTGTTACCAAACACAGCAAGCTTGTCCCACCCCACTTTGGGGCCTTTATAGTTGCCATTTTGTCTCCCTAAGGATCCTTCCCCCATGTCTTCATATGGCTCACCCCTCAGTTCATTCAAGTCTCTGGTCAGATAGCGTCACCTCTGTGAAGCCTTTCCTGACACCCACTCCACCTTTCTTCCAGATTCCTCTATTACGTCATCTTATTTCTTTCCTTTTGAAGGTATCTTGTTCTTTATTGTCTTTCTCTAGCCATTTGAGTGCAAGCCCTGTGAGGGCATTGGTCTGATCTGTCTTGTTCTTTGCTGGTACTATCATACCTAGAGCAGAATCTGGCCCATAGTAGATAGATACTCAAAGAACTGTTGGATGGCTGGGTAGGAGGGGAGGGTGAACAAACGCTTGTTGAGTTCTGTTTGGACTGTTAACATGTTGGTTCTTCTGGGGCATCTCAGAATTGAGCCTTTATACAGAGGTCTTTCCCATCTCGACTGATTGTACTTAAGAATGCCTTTACGTGTCCCCCTCTCTTCCTGCCAATAAATCTGTTTTAGGGCTGAAAGTTTGAATTCCCAAATAGCAGATGGATGATCCTCTCTTTCTTTCTCCCTGCCATTAGCCATGCAGTCACACCTTAAGTTGTATTTTGTGCAGGAGCCAAGATGAGATTTTGGCAGATAGTCAGTGCATTTGCTCATCCGTCAGACCTGTGGAGTGTGGTGCTGGATTAGGAACGAGAGATTGAAGCTAGAAATTGAGTCCTGCTGGCTTCCCTCTCAGTAGTAGCAGTCTGCTTTTGCTTTTCTGCTCTCTCCCAGTCTGTCTGTTGATTTTTAACATCATCTTCTGCCAGTCATTAATCCTATTAAAACTGCTGGTGAGATTAAGGCGGGGGTGGTGTCAGTCAATTTCACTTCCTCATCTTCAGAAGGGAGTTGAGAGATGACAAATTGTGAAGCCGCCTTGGTCTGATCACCAGCTTTAAATATGATGCCTTACAGTCTACTTGTCCTTGAGTCATGTGGGACTTCAGTGTTTTGGGGTCCACTTAGAGTTTCTGTTTAAAATCTGATGAAGTAGGGATGAACCCAGGAAATGACCCCTTTGCTTTTTGTTTTCTTCTCTCTGTTTTGTACAAATCAGGAGGTTCATCAAGAACGGATTGCATTGGAAAACCAATTGGAACAACTTCGTCCAGTCACTGTGTTGTAATCCCCAAGATTCAAGTAACAGTGGGCGACTTTTTCTGCCAAGATCTTTCCTTTGAATGTTTCAACCCAACTACTTGTCATAGATGTCCAAGACTGTGTGAAAAGCTGTGAGCGGCAGAATATAATCCATATTTCCTTTTCTCTTGTAGTTCACTTGTACCTTTTACTCTGGTGGAAAAAATACAACCAGTTATCACACTTGAAATTGTAATTATCAGTGGAATTTATCTCACATTCTTAAATACTTCCTCAAGTTGTTAGATGTTTCTCCTTACCAAAAACCAATCTTCTAGCAAATGAAAACAAGTTAGAGCATTATTTATTTAAAGAATTTATGATTTGTATAAAACCTCATAACCTAGTACCTTCAGGATGCTTGTTTTATTTTTGTATGTATATCAAATACAGTAGGTTGGTTTCCTGAATAATTGGGATTCCAACTGGATAGTCTTTGGCATGATGATAATAAAAACAAAAACTAAAACAAAAGCATCAGATTTAGACTGGCGCTGTGCCCTCTGCCACCATATGCCAAAACTGCTTCTTAGTGCCATTTTGACATTATATCTAGCTATAAATAATACATAACTATTGTTTTCCGTTGGATGGCAGAGATTTATTGGGTCTTTGCACCTCTGTAAAGTGGAAGTTTTGTCAGTGATCTATTTAACTTGGCCCAGCCAGGCCATCAGCTCACAGAACTCGGTCCTTTCATGTAAATTTTTGTGCAAGAGCAATCTGCTTTTTTAACTGCCTCACCCGCTTAAATTGAACAAATAGTTGCCAGATCTCTACTTTTATCCTGCATGGGATAACATACCTGTAAATGCATGTATTTGGAAACCGCCCGTCAGATGCAAAAGGCTGAAGAGATTGTTTGGACTGATAAATATTTGTTGCTTGAACCCAGGTATTCAACCTGGGGAATAAGGGGAACTGGTTGTTACCAGCACTCCAACAACTCTGGGAGTTATTTCTGTCCCTGTTATTTTAACCTGAATTGTGATTGTATTGAGTACAAAGAAATAATGAAAGAAACCCCATCTTCACTCTGGGGGTACAGCTGTTCGTTCTGTGTGAAGTGCACCCTGGGGAAGTGATTGGTTTATGTACAGCCCAGCGGAGCCCAGCTGACTCCAGCGTGTGTGATGTAAAACCATGAGCTCAAATTGCAGAAGCCAGCATGCTGTAGAAACTTTGATCACCTGCTCCCCCTGAAAGCTCAAGTTCAAAGTGGGAATCGATCGACCCTCACAGGGGTCAGGGCATGCCTGCTTTAACATCACTTTGAGAGACTGATTATAAGAAATACCGTCTCTTGTGCATTTTACTAATTTACCCATTCTTAGAGTAGACGGGTGGGGTGTGCCTACGGTCCTTTCTGAAGTGCTTTAGGATGGGTTTGCGGTATGTGGGATCAAGCCTCCGGTTTCAGTAGGTTGGCGGCTCTTAGAATAAGTGGGTGTTTATTTAATGCTTCCTTATTTTACTTGCCAGCTTTATCAATAGCTTAATAACAGAAGAGAAAGGCTCAAACAGATGATGTTTTCCCGAAGAAAAATAAGTTGGTGGTTCTATTCTGTGTGTATTAAAGGATGATTTGGAATTGATTTGATTTTGAAAATCAAAAAGTTGAACTGTTTCTCTGTTCTCCCTTTCCTTCCCTTTTGGTTGCCTTTTCTGCCCCTCGGGGAGGGGTTTGGAGTCATTTAAAACCCTTCCTAAGATTATAAATGGGCGGTGCAAATTTTTTAGATAACCTCCTTTCCCATGTTCTGAGACCTGGGGGCTGTAAGGAATTTTATCAAGTGTCCTCGTTGCACACATTTGACAGCATGATTACCGTTTGTTATGTTCCATCCAGGAAAGACTGACATTGGCACTGCATCTCATAATCTTCCAGGACATACACACTCACTCGAGATAGCGCCGCATAGCCATTGAGCAGGCACACAAATGAAAGAATGTTAGTCACTATTCTACATTTAAGAAATATTGAGGTGTTTTTCCCCAATCAGTCCATGCCGCAGTGAGACAAATTAGGATGTTCGGGTTTTGTTTACTTGGCTTGGTTTTCATTAAAGAAACAAACTCGCATTGGACAGTTAAAGCCCCGTCACCCGTATTTTAAGATGAGCGCCGCGTTAAAGCCCACATCAGTAATGTCTATGCCCAGCTTTCTTGACTGCACTTAACAGTGACCACAGTTTATTAGTTGCTCAGAAGTGGATTTTATTTTTTTTTTAATTTTTTTTTCAACGTTTATTTATTTTTGGGACAGAGAGAGACAGAGCATGAACGGGGGAGGGGCAGAGAGAGAGGGAGACACAGAATCGGAAACAGGCTCCAGGCTCTGAGCCATCAGCCCAGAGCCTGACGCGGGGCTCGAACTCACGGACCGCGAGATCGTGACCTGGCTGAAGTCGGACGCTTAACCGACTGCGCCACCCAGGCGCCCCAGAAGTGGATTTTAAAAGAGAAAACAAGTACACACTATTATGATTACCCGACTAGTGCTCATCTTCTGTTCCTCTGTTTTCTTAGGATGTGCACTTTTAATGTAGGACTATAACTCCTGTTAATGTTCCTGTGAGCCTTTAATGTGACTTGTAGGAAGGCTGAGTTGGTGAGGTCACCGTTAGCCCTCTTCTATAAAACCACTCCCAAATTGGACCTGCTCGTTGGGCAGAATTCAATGGACAGAAGGTCGGTGTTGCCCCCCGTCCATGGAGGTTTAATAAGCTGCTTGTTGAGTGGTCCTCCTCCATAGGGTCCTGGTGCCCCAAAGCGGGAAGCGCAGCAGGAATTGACAGCAGGCTTCCAGGTACCCTCATGTGCCTTGTATGTGGCCTGCTGCTTTTGCCCCCTCCCTGTCCATTAGATATGAAGCCAAAGCAGAAGGTGGATATCTGGAATGGAAGTGCATGTTGTGATCAAGGCAGATACTTGGATTCGCTTTAGTTGGACAGATCTAACCGCTTTATAAATATTGGGTGCTTCGGGCCTGATCGGGAGAGGAGACATCTTGGCTGGAAGCCCATTTTACTCTCATTGGAGAATGGGATGTCCGAGCGGAGAGGACTTGGACCCGTCTCCTGCAGTTTGCTCTTGGGGAAGCCACACTTTCTAGCCCGAGAATCCATAGGAGGAGGTAACTAGTGGCAGAGCTGGGATGCCAGCTGATCTTAGGGATTCTAAGTCAAGTCCTCCAGCCTCTAGCAATACTAAAAATAGATTAGAAGGGTTTCTTCTATTTACCATGTTGAATTTTATTTACTTAGTAAGTTTTAAAGTATGAAAACACGTTTCAGTGAGTTTTAGATCTAGATATTCCTCTTAGATTGAAGCAAAAAATGAAATTTGAAGGGAAAGAGTATGATTGAACTATTTGTTCTTCTGAACACCTCACCTTTCATGATGCAATAAATTACTCTGAGTTTCTTGGCAGAACTTTTGACAGCTGTTGCTTTGAATGGATTCCATTCCTGTATTCCTTATGGGAGTTTGTTTTTAAAATAGACTACTGCGATTGAAATGAATTCAATATGTAGTAAGTTACAGTTTTCTTCGCTGTATCTTCAGTTATGTGGGTTGCAAATGTTCGATTTCAGCATATTTTAGGGGGAGTAGTAAAAAACACGAATTGTCCTCTGATTTCCTACCAATGTCTGAACTATCATAAAGCACTCTTCATATGTGACTTGATTCTATAGTCTGTTTATAAATGATAATTTGTTTCTTAAATGATCTCACAACCATGGTAATAAGAGATGTGCACTCAGAAGATCAATAAGAAAATAACCTGGAACGGATGTTTTTCTTGCAATTAAGACAGGCATTTACAAAAGTCTTCTCCTAAGCAGTAATTGGAAAGGTCTCAGTTACAGTATAACACCTAACAGCTAAAAACATTTGTTCAAAACAAACTTCAGTCACACCTCCTGACTAGACATCACCAAAGGAATGTGATTTTAAAAGTATGAAAAAAAAGAATTTCAAATATCAGAGTGACCAGATCTTCCCATATTATTGACAAGTAGGGCTTAGTAGGTTGTGGTTTGAACATTATGAAGGTGAACAGAATGTAGTATCAGTTGAAAGGTCTTTTTCTCTTCTCGTTAAGTAGAGCAGAGGTGACTGGTTTCCCTTTCCAACCGGCTTACTCCCTTTTAAGTGTACTCTTTTAAAACTTCGATTTCCAAGGATCTTTTGAATTTACACGTTAGCTATGGGTGTTTTATTATGTTCTTTTTTTGCATCATGACTTGATGTGGTTCAAGTTCCCTAGTAAGGGGTGGGGATTTGGGTTTTTGGAATTCTGAGGCGGCATCTTGTCTTTAGGCACAGGCTAAGGGCTACTGCTCGCCAGTACCAGCGGCTCGGCCATGGGCGGCAGTGTGCATGTGAGTCTTGCTCTATGAGCCACCCTGCTTTGCTTGTTTGCAATGAGAAATGCATCTAGTTTTGCGACCCCTCCAAGAGCAAAAGAACAGACATGGGGGACCGGACTTCAAAAGCCGCGCATAGTCAGTCTGGGGGCTGCTGCTCTCCTCCAAAATCGGCCTTCAGAGGTTGCCTTACAAGTGCTCCCTGGAATAGCCAGTGTGTTACTGCGAGCAAGACATCCCAGGCACATGGCTCCTGTTAGGCTTATATAGTTATTTTCTGCATTTGCCGACATACGTGATGACGAAAGAAACTTTTCTAAAAGGCATCGCGGGGTTTCGGTTGAGAGGACTTGTTCTACTTACAGAAACCTACTCTGTTCTTAATAATGGGAAAGTGTTTTTGTGTTTTGTGAGTTTTCCTGTCTTGCTCTAAGCTAATTTCACGGCTGTGGGAAGCTGGAGAAAATGGGCTCATGACTCTGGAGACCAGAGGACGGGGACTTTTAAGAGGGCTTGAATTGGAATTCGAGGGCAAGTTTGACACTAGGGAAATTCAGGGGCCAGTTCCGGCCTACTCCAGTACTCCGTTGCCTGACAGGACTGGACCCTAAAGGGCCTTCCCAGAGCTCTGGAGCTCTGCCCTCGGAATGGTGCAGCTGATGCAAGAGCCCCATCGCATGGCGATTGGATCAGCCGAGTTGTGTTGTTTTCATTTTGTTTTAAGGCAGCTTGTGTGAGGGCTTCAACTGTACCCATCTTGGGAACTGGGCGTTCCCTTTTCTTCGGCATTCTGCCATTCTGTTTGTCTTCAGCACAGATATGTTCCAGAAAGCCAGAGACAGGAAGAGCCGTGTTAGTCTTCATGACAGTGGGCCAGGAGAGAGAATGAGCTGATGGTCTATTTTAACCTCGAGAGTAAGAGTGTGTATTTTGTCACTGCAGGTACATTGAACAGTAAAATGAGTAACAGCAGAGTATATATATATTTGATGCCTTCTGTCTCCTCATGATAATGTGCTAACAAGTTGTGTTAGCAATTTACTTAGCCAGAGTTTTGTTCATTTGCTAGGCCTTGGGAACATAAAGTATATTGGTCTTAAGCATAAATAAATATAGGGTAACCTATATTTGGATTGTGACTTGTAGACTCAAACTAACCTTACTGCCTCTTTTTCACACTTGTTGGAAAGTCTGTGAAGAACATAGTAGGTTAAAAATCTCCAACTTTGGAAAATGTACATGATGTGAAACTGGGGTGCTATGTTAAAAATAAATGTACGATAACTAAGTGTTTTTATGGAGTCTTGGTGTCGATGAATTGTGGCCTGCATATGGTTTTGTGCATTTAATGGAAGTGCTGTGGGAAAAGAGTTGGAGGTCTTCCCAATCAAGTCTGAGATTTGATTATTTTTACCTCCTGGTGATCTGAGCTAGGTCCTTAAATATCTGGACACGGTGAACACTGGGTGATCATGGGCTATCTTGCCTAACTCACAGTGCATTTTAAAGATCTCCTGCATTGAAAACTTGGCTTAATGTGGGGTCCAGGTTATTTGCTTCATCCTGTCAGTATTCTTTTTGTTTGAAAATGTTCCCAGCATCCTATCCTTAGCTAGAGTAGGGGTGAAGTGGGGGAGAGGTCAAGGACAGTGGGCTTGAAAGCCCGACCCAGTAATCTGGCATCCCAGTTGCAGTTTCTTACCTTCAGGATTTGAATCATTTGGGGCACCTGGGTGGCTCGGTTGGTTAAGTGCCTGACTCGATTAAAGCTCAGGTCATGATCTCCTGGATTGAGAGATCAAGCCCCAAGCTGGGCTCTGTGCTGACAGCATGGTGCCTTCTGGAGATTCTCTCTCTCCCTCTCTCTCTGCCCCTCCCCTGTTTGTGTGCACGTGCACTGTCTCTCAAAGTAATGAAATGAAATAAAATTTGAATAATTTTAGGAGTCTACCATTGTCCTATCAGCTGGGAGTTTTATTCTGCTTTGTGAATGCAAATGGTGGGCTACACATGGGATATTTCTAATCTATGAGTTCTAAATACCAAAAAAACTCTGCAAAAAAATCATCCATGATTTGGCTCATAAGCTTGGACACTGGAGGTCACTTGACCCCGGCCTTTTCCAAGCACTGGTGAAAATCACTGTGTCCCTCACTTTAGAGATAAAAGACATCTGAGATCATCTAGGCAAGTGGTTCCCAAAATGTGGTCCCCGGACTGGCGATATCCTCATCTTTAGGGAACTTACACTGGA